TTCCTTCACATTCTTCTATTTTCTAACCTTACTTTATCTTTTAAATACTTTTAGGTAAAAAATAATATTTTGAGTTAGATGACTTTATAAATAATGTAGATTTATAGAGTGATATTATAAAACTATAGCATCCTGAAGTGACATGCGAAATATATATTTGCTGCATCGGTTAAATTACTTTTTACAAAAATATGAAGCACCTTAAAATAAGTAAGTTTTTCACGTATATTTTAATGATTTTTTTATTAATATTTTTTGATAAATTTACTAATTATTATTTTGTTTGATCTTATGATCAAAGTACAATAATAACATAATATAGAGATGGAGGAGAGTGTTTGAGGGACAACCCTGCTTAAATAACCTTCTTAATAGGCCAAATCCCCTATTTGCACCCTCCATTTATTTTTTTTCCGTGGTCAACACCTTTCAGAATTTTTCCTTCCTATTCACACCCTCCATTTTTCAAAACCCGTGAAAAACCCAATATTTTAATGGGCCGTCACGGCACCGTTAAAAAATATATTACGTGGCACCCAAAAATTGACGTGGCACTATGTACCGTTAGTAATCCAACGTGGATATTTTTTTTATGACATGATTTATTTTTTACGAGCGTGAGACGCCACGTATACAGTGAAAATAATAAAAAATTATAATATTACCAAACAGTTACATAAATGGCATTTTTTTCTTTTTTTTCTTTTCCCCCTCATCCTCGGCATCATCTTCACCGTCCTCCATTTTCACCGTCCACTTCTCAACGGGTTCCTCGCGGGGAACCCAGTTTTGGGTTCCTCGCGTGGAACCCAGTTCCAACCTTTTTTTTTTTTTGATTTTTTGATTTTGAATTTATTTATCTTAGCTTCTAATTTTATGCAAAGCAATTTGGAATAATTTTTTTTTGTTGAAAAAGTGAGTTTTTTTTGCTTGGAGATTGTTTTTGGTAGGCGAATTGTGAAATTAGGTTCCACAAAGAAATCAGAACCTGGGTTTTGCGAGAAACCTAGGGGGATGAGGACGAGGATGGTGAAGATGATGCCGGGAAAGAAAAAAATAAAGAAATTAAAATTAATGATGATTTAATTATAACACATTATAAAAAAAGTCCAACATTAAATTAATAAATGTGACATAAAGTTCTGGGTTCCTGGTTCTTGGTTCCATAAGGAACCCAGGAAGATGAAGAGGAAGATGGTAAAGATGATGCGGGAAAGAAAAAAATGAAAAAAATTAAAATTAATTATGATTTAATTATGCCATATCATCAAAAAAGAAAGTCAACATTGGATTATGTTACTGTTTGATGCCACGTATTACAATTTTTAACGGTTATTAACAGTACCGTGACGGCCCGTTAAAATATTGAGTTTTTCACGGGTTTTGAAAAATGAAAAGTGTGAATAAGGAAGAAAAATTCTGAAAGGTATTGACCACGGAAAAAAAAATAAATGGAATGTGCAAATAGGGGCTTTGGCCTTCTTAACATAGGAGTAGTAACATCTTTTCATAACTTTCTTAATAGGATAATTATATGTTGATATATATATATATATATAT